CTTTGTATTCTTATATGCCAAGTACATCATATACATATGAGATGGCTAGATTGGAATCCCCTCCGAACAAATCAAATTCTGGTCATCTGAAGGGAGAAGGTCTATGTGCCAGGGTTAAATCCTTCCTCTATACACCCTTATGACGGGTCTTTGTTACAAATGAGGGAGGTATCATTCGAATCATTAGATTAGGCGATCATTTTTTAACTTATTAGAAACAGAATTCCAATCTTTCTACAATTCAACAGAATGTCACCATGTATATATTGTTCTTTGCCGATGCCAACATGTATTGTACTCTCTTCTCTAGTTCTTCTTAGAATTATGTTTAAACTAAGTGTCCACCTCCCCCCTCCAAGTCTTCAAACATTTCTCAGCCATTAGTTGGTCACATTCTTAATAAATCACTAATTGTTTCAATTTAAAGGGGAAATGTTGCATATATCTAAGGACTTTTCCAGACTACAATTTTGGAATAGAAAATGAGGTGAAATTTCATTACTTTAATTAGAACGATGGAATTAATAAGTAAAGATTTCAAAACAGTAACAAAAAGTTTTTTCAAAGATCATTTGCAATTTGTGATATAAAAACGAACACATGTACGTTCCTCTACCATGCCCCTCAAAGCAAAGATACGACAATAATGGATTCTTAATTGGTTGTTACACTTTTCTTCATTATGTATTTGGTAATACATATGCATATATTATATATATATATGCTTCTCACAAGAATACAGAAATTAGTTGCAGGTATTGTAGAAAAATGTGGTTACACTGAATCAGCAAGAAACATTTCTACACTATTTCTCCAAACAAAATCAACTAAAAAGTTGAATACTTTCTTGTCATCCACCATTCACATTCAAAAAATTTTTAGACATTTTAAAAATACATGTTTATGCAAGATGCACATATGTTTGACGTAATTGTGTAAAAACCCATATCTTTTCAGAGAGAGTGGGTGAAATGGGTGGGGGTGGGAAGGTCCTGCCGAAAAGGAGATAAGATAATGACTAGTATTATGTTCTTTGGTTAGTTGTTTTTGTTTGTTTGTTTTTTCTTGGGTTTTGTTTTTTTGTGTGTGCGTGGTCTCTAGATAACCAGCAAGTCTTAAGAGGTAGGCATTTTTGGAGAGATTCTCTCTTCCTCGTCACCCCCTCCCCCCAGTCAATTCTTCTCCTGACCTTCAATCAAAAAACATTTATTCAGTGCCTACAATGTGCCAGGCATTGTGTTGTGCTTCCTGTGCATGTCCAATTGCATCCTGGGCCATCTCCCGGGAGTCTTAATCTATATCTCCGCTGGACCCAGATGGCTCTGGAGGAGAAAGTAAGGCTGGTGACTTTGCACAGCCCTCCTTCATTTAAATACAATTCACGTGCATGTCCCGGCATCACTTTCCTGATGTCATGGTTCCTTTCGAGAAAGCAGGACAAACAGCAGCAGCAGCAGCATGCATGTCTAACTGCCCACCCTCTGTGATCAGGAAAAGAGAAACTAGTGGCTCCCTACCTCCTCCAATCCTCCTTTCTTTGTTCACCAATCAATCAACAAGTATTTATTAAGTTCCTACAATGTGTCAGGCAATGTGCTAGCACAGAAGATACTAAGACAAAAAAATGAAAATCCTTGTCCTCAAGGATCTTATATTCTATAGGGGGAGACAATGTGTACATTAGAATTCAAAATGTGCATATAAATATACACAAAATAAATGCAAGGTACTAGGGGAGGCACTAGCACTTGGTTGAATATGAAAAGGATTCATGCAGAAGATGGCACTTGAGTTGAGCTTTTAAAAAAATCAAAGCTGAGAAAAGCTTAGTCCTTGGAAACAGATGCTTGAGGGGAACTAGACTAGTGAATAAGCCAAGAACCCCATTTAGCAATTGTTCCACATGGCTTCTGTCTGAGGAGATAGTGCTAAAGAGAGCCTTAAGATGATGGTGATGATGGTGGTGGTGGTGGTGTAACTTCAGTGATAATAACAATATTCTCTGACTTTCCAGACTCTTCTGGTAACCAAGAAGTTGAAGAATATCATCATCCAGATCCCTAAATTAAATTTAGTAGTGTGATGTACTAATTTTGACATGGACTTACTCTATTCTAATTCCTTTTAGATATTTAAGCTCCAAATCATTCACAATGAGAGGCCCTTTAACTTTGCCATGCAAGCAGCCATTTATCAGCTTAGAGCAATTTCTCCCTAAATATATATAGCAGAGGCACACCGCCCACATCTGTTTGCACTCTCTCCCTGCACCACCAATCTCAATGCATATTACACTGTACATATCAACAGACACTGACAAATACTTTCAAATATTTATATTGCAGTAAGATAGTGCTTTTTCAAACCTTACCCCATTTAACACCCTTACTCTGATAGAAATTGAGGCTTAGAGAGAGAAGGAAGCACTGTTCTAACTTGATTTATATTTCTTCCCTAATGTCTGCTAACCAACACAGAAACTGACCATTTTATATTCCCTTGTTTTTTCAAAAGAACAATTTTGTAAGGAAAAGTCTACCTGGTTATTCAGAAAGAAGAACATTTGATCTAAAAGCCAAAGAAATTAACAGATCATACTTTAGGGCTTAAACTTTAAAATAAGAACGATGAAACAAATCTACTGTGATTTCTTGTTTTAAATGAAAGTACTTCATCTGAAATTGAGCAGTATAGCAACTGAGAGCCTCCTAAGCAAATCAGAAATTAGATTCTAAACATTCAAGTTCAAGACTAAATTAAAAAAGGGATGCATTTTGCAGCAAGCAGAAAATAGATAAAACTGAACACTTGCTGAGATTTACGTAGAAGGCTTTTGGAAGTACTGTACGTGGTGTCCTAAAAGTCTTGACATAATTTTAAATAATTAAAGTTTTAAAGTCAAAAAACATTTATTAAGCATCTACTCTGCACCATGTACTGTGCTAAGAGCTATATACAAAGAAAGGCCTGCTCTCAAGGAGCTCACAGTCTAATGGCGGAGATTACCTGAAAATAACTAGGAAAAATAAGCTATAAACAGAATAAACCGGAGATAATCAACAGAGGGAAGGCACTAGAACTGAGATGGACTGGGAAAGGCCTGTTAGGGGGAAGGTGGGATTTCAGCTGGCATTTGAAGGTGCACAGGGAAGTCAGGAGGCAGGAGATGAGGAAGGAGAGAATTACAGGGCAGGGGAATAGGCAGTGAACATGCCGAGGGTCAGGATATGGAGAGTCTTCTTGCAGGAACAGCAAGGACAGCAGTACCACTGATCGCAGGGTATGTGAAGGTAAAAGAAGACTAGAAAGTGCATGGGGCCAGGAGGGAAGTTATGACGAGTTTTGGCCTCCAAATTGCACTAAAACTTTTGGGATGCTATATTAAAATTGCTCTGTCATTTGCTAACATTGTTTCCTTGGATGAATCATTTAACCTCAGTTTCCTCATCTGGAAAATGACAAGGAGTAGACTAGATGACTTTTAAGATCTCTTCCAGCTCTAAATGACCTATTTCTTTCGATGAAGGAGAACAAACTTATTCTTAACCAATCAACAAGTATTTATTAATCATCACTACATGCCAAGCACTCTGCTATCCACTGGGCAGACAAAAACAAAATATAAAACAATTTCTGATCTGGAGGAAAAATTACAGGAAACCGTGACAGAACAGAAATGTGCAAATTGCTTTTCAGTTCTAAAGTCAAATCAAAACTTTTCTTGAAAAAATTCAGCTAGCTCTAATGCTGATTTCCAGTATGCTTGGCTCACTCCCGCAAACAAGGTCATCTGGAAGGCACTGAGTTCCTTGAAATGCTCTCTTCATTCGTTCAATCTTGAAATACCTCACCAGGAATTAAAATTCACTAGAAACGTCATGGAAGTATTCAAAAGAACAGGTGCATACTTTTCCACCCAGTATTTCGAATCTTATCCTTATACTAAAATGATTTTCTAAGGTGATGGCCACCAGAGCCGACACACAGTCACTGCCACTGCAGAGCTCCATTTTAAAAACTCTCTTACAATGAGCAGACCATTCTAAATAAAAACTGTTGTGTCTCTATGAGACTTGGGGGAGAGGCAGAAAGGAAGCTTTGATTAGGAAAGATGAAGACAAGGCACAGTGGAGTGGCAATCAGGAAACGTGTGACGGGCATTCTAGTCCCTGGCTATTCAACTAATTAGCTTGGGCATACTTCGTGCCTGTTTCCTCATCTGTAAAACCAGAAGGTTGGACTAGATGTTTTTTCAGGTCCTTTCTAACATTCATATTAGGTGAATCTCCAGCGGAGACTCTTTGTATCCCTACCCTCCCTACATGTCAGGCCCAGGGAAATCCTTCTATTTTTGCTGCAGAACTGGTAGGAATGGGGTGGGGGTGGGGGTGGGGGAGGATCAGAAGCTCTGCCCGACCTGCGACGCTGGGGTTGGCAGCTAGAACCCCGGCACCGCTTCTGGGCTGCCTGCCATGCTTTCTTCTCCCCAGTCTCAGCATCTACGGAAAACCGAGAGGAAACCTCAAATGGAAGAGCTCGATCAGATCCGCCCCGCCCTGGCAGGGAAGCTGCTGGAGAATAAGGGGGCATGGAGAGGGTGTGCAGACCCGCACCCCGGCCCTGAAAGAGCTAGCCCTCTCGGCCCCTCGGCCTTTGCCAGCCGCGCGAACCCGCAGCAGCTGTCAAATCCCGTCCGAGGAAAAGCAGCCTTGCCGGGTCTGGTTGGGAAGGAGGAGCGCAGGGAGCTCTCTGCGCATCCAGCGCCAGCAGCGCCTCCAGCCTGAGCCGCGGAGAGGAAAACAGGGAGCAAGCGGCCGCAGCCACCGCCCCGTGAGCCCGCAGCGCGCGGGGCCGGAACCGGAGCCGAAGCCGGAGCCGGAGCCGGTGAGCCCAGGCGGAGCCGCCGAGCAGCCGCAGCGCAGTGCAGAGCGCGGAGCTTGGGCAGGGGAGCCAGGCGCGGAGCAGCAGCCGCCTGGAGCATCGCAGCCACTGACCCTTACCGTAGCTGCTCCCCGGTGACCAGGATCTCTGCCATGTGCTCCAGCTCCCTTTGCTGCAAGCCTCCGCTGACCGTGCCACCGCTGCCAGTGCTGCCGGTGCCGGTGCCGGTGCCCGTGCCGGTGCTGCTGCTGCCGCCGCCCTCCTCCTCCATCCTCCTGAGCTGCTCACTCTTCTCTCCCCGCGGTAGGCTAGCCCGGGTGTTAAGAATCAGTCAGCTCTTACAGAAGCCCCGGCCGCCATCTCTGTTGGGGGCAGCCTCGGGGCTCGCGTGTGATTGGCGAGAGCGCAGGGAATCCCTCCCGCCTTTCGGAGAAGGGGTAGGGCTACGGACCAGGGGGTGGGGCTATGGGTGTGGTCAGGGCGCGCGTGGACCCTTATGGGCGGGACCAGAGGGAAAACATAAACACGAGGCTGGTGTCCAGTAGGAAGTTGGAGGGCAGCTTGTGGCCAAGAATTGGCTGTAGTTTCTTGGCCTCGAGGTTTCTTTACAGAGCGCAAGCTGGGTGGCCCCTCATATGGGTCATCAGTTGTTTGAATTTAGTATACAAATGGTAGGACATTGTTAACTTTGTTGTTATTTATTACCCTTAGCCTAAATTAGGAGAGGGGAGGAGAAATGTTATGCTGGCTTAGTAATAAACTGAACTGGACAGAGAGTGGACATTATTCATGCAATTGCAAGTCTGATGGAAACTAAAAAAAAAACGAACAATTTTCCTATTTATTTTTCAAAACTCACATCTTCCTAAAAAGCCTTCCTCTATTCCAAGGGTTCTTAAACCTAGAGTCTGAAAATAAAAAATTATAACTATTTCAATAAAATTGTTTCCCTTTAAACATATGTATTACATTTTATGCATTTAAAAACATTATTCTGGGGCAGCTAGGTGGTGCAGTGGATAGAGCACCCGCTCTGAAGTCAGGAGGACCTGAGTTCAAATCCAGGCTCAGACCAAACACTTGACACGTACTAGCTGGGTGACCTTGGGCAAGTCACTTAACCCCAATTGCCTCACCAAAAAATAAATAAATAAAATAAAAACATTATTCTGAGGAGTCCATAAGTTTTATCGAACTACCAAGGGTTAAGTTAAGAACCTTTACTGTACTCCAACCACCTCAATTCACAGATGAGGAAATAGGGTAATGTGGTAAAATGGATGGAGTGCTGCATTTTAAAATGAGGAAGACAGGTTTAATTATCTGTTCAGATACTTACCAGCTGTGTGACCCTGGCCAAATCACTTAACCTTTCAGTCTCAGTTTCTTTATGAACCACTATATAAATGCAACCTAAAAGACTTAACCAAAAGTCACATACATAGTGAGGGGGATTTGAACTCAGGTCTTTGGAATCCAAAGCCATTGGTTTCTCAACTGTTCCAGGCTGCCTCTCCTTCCTAATTTTTCTCAAGTCAGAGCTATACATGATAGCCAAAGGGGTGGGGAACCTTCAGCCTTGAGGCCACATGTGGTCCTCTAGGTCCTCAAGTGTAGCCCTCTAACTGAATCCAAACTTCACAGAACAATCCCCTTAGTAAAAAGATTTGTTCTGTAAAACTTGGATTCAGTCAAAAGACCACACCCAAGGAAGGCTATGTGTGGCCCATCCCTGGATAGGGCAACCTGGGTTTTCCTCCGCAGGTCACTAAAATGTACAGGGTTTGGAGGACAGTTCTGTTCCTTCAGCAAGTAGAAACAACTAAGTCTAGTATCTAGTATTTGTATATAGCCAAATGCTCACGTAGATCTGTGATTTCATCAGTTCAGAAACTCCCTACAACAGGGCAAATCCTAACACAACCATGTCAGCCCATCCTGTGTGACTTTTATCCATGTCCTCCTGTAATTCCTATGTAAGGGGTCAGCCTAACATGCTGGAGACCTTTCTCAATCTTATCTGACACTGTGAAGGTACCAGAGGAGCACTGTAGCTATTCATGTATCATTTCTCATCCTTACCACACACTTGGTCCCTTTTCTCTGCCTGTTATATAATTCCTGTGTTCTTCTATGGAGGTCTTCTTTGGTTGCATGTTGCAGCCTGCTCACCCCCACCATATGCCTTTCCATTTTCCTGTGTGATCTTTATTTTTAATGCTTTGAAGACTGTTGTA